TGGCAGTATAATAGTTTAAAAGCTCAATACTCACCATAAGACCTAAGATATACAGATTTAATTCGTGTTGTAGTTTTGTATACATGATAGTGAGAAGTCCTATTTTAGGATGAAACAGATTTACAGTGGTTTCTAGTTTCCAGTAGTTGTTTAACTAAGGTTAGCTGGTGATAAAAACCATAAAATTAATTCCCTTCGTAAGTGTGAATAAAGTCAGTCAGTCAGCTACAACGTAGGACCAGGCACAAATATGCATCGGTTCAAGTTGATACACCTCATTAGCACAACAACATGAACACTAAATTCATAGAAGTAGTTAATTTAATGGTGGTAATATATAAAAGAAAGATTGTATATGATGATATAGTATAGGAAGAAAGAAAGGAATGAAGCAATTTTATTCTCACAGTTTGAGGAAAGACAGGGACTGTATACACCTTCGCCACTGTGATCGATTCTGAGCCATGTCACATAGAATCTCCAACCATTGGTTACGATAGTCGCGCGGACCCCAACCAAGTAGTCTGCGTCTACCAACATGTATCAGACTAGAGGTTAGTGACTTCAAGGACTGATGCCATGTTTTGATTTGACCGCCCCTAACTATCAACCATCCCGAATACTAGCCATCATTGAGCGTCCTGGTAATTGGTGTTCAGGCATACGTAACACGTGGCCTAACTGCTGCGCAGTATACTCGTCCCTTAATTAATAGACGGATATCTCACCTTCGTCATAGGTGAAGAGAGATCAGCGATTCACGCAGGTTTATGTGAATTAGTTACTGCCTTGTGACTCCTCATCAGATGTCTATTACTTTCTTAAATCATCGAAATCACGAGCCGACCAATGTTAGACCAACAGGAAGCACTAGACGGCCGTTTCGTCCTAGAATAGCTAAAAATGGTTTGTTGTCAAACTGGACCGTTCAATGAAAATATCCATTGCCATGAAACGTGTATAAACAACAGTAACACAGTTCTAATTTACGCTAAATAATTACTTTAACTGATGCTAAACACTTTTTTCCATAGCATCAACAAGCAGCAAGTTACTTACTTTACTTACTTACTTACGCCTGTTACTCCCAATGGAGCATAGACCACCGACCAGAATTCTCCAACCCACTCTGTCATGGGCCTTTCTTTTCTAGTTCTATCCAGTTTTTGTTCATTCTTCTCACGTCTGTCTTCATTTCTCGGTGTAATGTGTTCTTTGACCTTTAGGATTCCACGTGAGGGCTTGTCTTGTGACACACACACTCAATGTGTGTCCTATCCACTTCCAGAACTTCTTCCTGATTTCTTCCTCCGCTGAATGGAATCTGGTTTGTTGTCTCCCACAGTAACTAAGCAGCAAGTATGTACATAATTTAAGTTGTAATCTTAAAGTTCATCAAACTGATTGATTATGTAACATAAACGAGCAAAAGTAAGAAATTGTGGTTGAAGGTAGTCAACAAGAAACTCTTAACCTAGGTTTCATGCTACTTGGGACTCGCCAGCAGGATTTACCCGTTATCCTGATGTTCCTTGACGGATTCGACTCCTTGTCGTCCAGCTTCATATTCAGAGACGTAACCATTAGACTATCTGGACTTCGAGTGACTTGCTATAGTGAACAATTAATTGTAGGTATATTTCACTCAGTCACAGAGCATCAGTTTCCTCAAGAATACAGGTACAGCTCACTGACGAGTACCTGTTGACTACCTCCAATCACCATCTTATCTCAACATAGTGCATGCAATGTCGAGTCACCTAGACTTATGGCCACATTACAACTTAGTTGATAAGATTCGGTTTGGACTGGAGAGGACATGACACCACACAGTGATCAATTGGTTGTGAGTAACAGTATTGAATCTATACTTATTATCATTATTTTTAACACTTGAATACGTACTGACCTGATTAAGATTATGTTATCAAGAGTTAGTATTACTATTCTTGACCTCTGAATGTATATTGACCTGGTTAATACTCTATCCAACATTATATTTATCATATATTATATGAAAGTAACATTGAACTAATATTTTTCACTAATAAGATAATTATAAAGATTGATGAAGTTTTGTTCTCTGAGCTGGATGGTTTAGTCGTGGAGCTTTCATCTTCCATCTGGACGACATCATCAGCATAAGCTTCGGGTAGAAGTGAAGTGTTTGAATGGATAGTCTTATAATCACGGATTGATAATAGTTAAACGAATTCAATCTGTAATACAGATTTAATGTTATGGTCTAACTTCAGCCAATCCATGAAACTGATCAACCGTCCACCATTGTCTTCAGTGAGTTGATATCTCACAACAGACCTCGAATAGGTATATTATCTACACGTATACATAAGTTATGCCTATTTGAGGCTTGTAAAACTGACTATTATTGACCAATATTGTGTAGGTAAATAATTTGCTTGTTTAGTCTAGGTCCACTGTGTTTGTCCTCCTGATAATGTGACAATGAGCATGAGGCTTGGTTTTCTTCATTATATCTTAATGACCAACACTTCTATGAATGATTTTTGTGAGATTTAAGAATGTTTACACGTTTCAAATGATAAGAATGTGTTTTCTTTTTCAAAAAAATCTTATAGTTGAATTCATTAGTCAATTGAAGCTGGACCGCCATGGAAAACTCGGAATCTTGCTTCAAGGGATTCGAACCCGGGATCGTGGATACGCAGTGCTGAGTAGTCTTAGACTCGAACGAAAAGGCTGTCCATTGCTCACGGGTTTTCCATGATGATCTAGCTTCAATTGACTATTGAATTCAATTATTAAATTACCACAATCTCCACAAAACCGTTTTCTGATTGTAAACTAACCTACAACAATTGAGCATTACTTTTTTGAATGATAGTACTGTATTCACTGTGTTACAAGCCCACGAATGCCCTAGTATGGACGAGGGTGAGGAGAGTTAGGTCCTCCTCTATAAATGCTCTCACATGGCCACGCGTATACAGTCACTATAAGGGGAGTCTTACCCCCTTACCTATTCGTCGCATTACTATTGTTTACGTAATTGAGTGGATGAAAAGCGAATATCCAACACTTTAACCGGGTTGGTGGTGGACACGGAGGGTCAACCTAGAGGAGTTAAAAAAACCCTGATTCTTGACTACTATTGTACATGTGATCCAGGATCCTGAAGGAACAAATCGCACTGAATACATATGCTCCACACAAGTCACTTGATGTGTGTATTGGCTGTGATACTGCCCGGGTAGTCACAACTTGTGTTCTCATTCACTACAGATCTAACATATAGTCACACTGTAATTGTTTTATTTTGTAAATTTTCTCTCAGTATTCAGTATCTGTCAGTTATGTTCAATGGAGAAAGTTTCAATCAACTCAGATACTATTACTATTCTTTTTCATTATTTGATGGATGAATGCCAACATATTTTTCTCTGTTTTTTCTACAGTATAGACAAAATGAAAAATATGCCAACAAGTGATGAAGTTTTGGTTTGAGATTTCTACTAATTAACATACCGATAGATTATAAACTATTCATAATACAACGGGAGTACATACCGTAAAAAGTATTTCGTTCAAGGGAGTCTAACAAAAGAAGGCCTATTACAGTATATACATCAGTGGGAAAGAGTTGACTCAGACGTTATAGCAATCCTCTATTCTCAACCGTAATCGTTATACTGTGATGACCTTATGACGTTGATTATGTTTGTTTCACTTATAACATGTTCATAACATGTCAACTCCACAAGGCAGTGGAGTATTGTGAGCAGAAGCAGTCCCATGGTAGCCGGTGACCAACATTAGGTTCATACGCTATTTATTCCCTCAGAATACTGGAGCCAGCCCATGTGCACCATTGGTTTGGAATCAGGGTTTTCCAACTCCCCTAGGTGGACTCACCGTGTCCACCAATCCAAACATTCGCTTTTCGTCCTCTTAACTTCGTAAACAACACCCTCACCAAAAGAAGGCAATGAGTAGAACTTCCCTAGCAGGGGCCACACACGCGTGGGTATATATGAGAGCATTTAGAGAGGAAGAGCAAACTTTCCACACTCTCGGCCGTACCAGGGCATTTTGGAGCGAAAAATAATGTACACCTTATCAATTCCCTAAGAGTACTAGCTGAAATATAATTTAATTGATTGAAATTTGATCACTGTTGATAAGTAAATACAACATAAGTTACTGCTCACTAATCAATCATCATAAAGTTTGACTTCAGAACTCATCATTGAGACATCATTGGAACCTGATAGATCACTAGATTTCAATCAAATCGCTTAACATGTTTATTACTCGATTATAAAGTTCTGAACTTAAACTTTAGATGTTAAGTTGCAGCTCATTGTTAAACGATTGTATATTAGATAGATACAATTGTTTAACACTTAATAATTAGATATTTTGGGGAAATTTAATATTTTCATAGTTGAAATCATAAGTCAATTGAAGCTAGACCACCAAGGAAAACCTGGATGCACTAAGCGGCCGTTTTGTCCGCGGAGTGTGGTCACGGATGATCATTGCTGAGAAGTCCCATAACAGGATGAAACGGCCTTCCAGTGCTTCCAGGTTTTCCTTGGTGGTCAAGATTCAATTGACTCATACTTTCAACTATGAAAACACTTCATAGTTCAAAATTATGTACTGTACAATTTTAACCAATCAGAGAAATACTAAATTATCAATATAAATATAAAAAGGTAATAAAGTGATTGGTAACTAGTAGTATCCAAGTGAAAATACATTAGTACTTACCATTCTTCAATTGTTTTAGCTTATTATTACTATTGATAATGACAGTACAATTACTTACAAATTGTATCCCCAATAGGACTAAACATGAGTCTTGGATCCCTCATTTGCTAGTTACTATCCATCAATGTTTATTGACAACATGGTTTGAACTATCGAAATATTATAAACCAATTCATTCTATCAAACAATATCCATTCTATAATACTAAATTCTTAATTACAATCATTATTATATTCACTTTATGTATGTGCAGTATACTTCATTTAACTTATTATAATACTGATTTTACAATCCATTCAATTATTACAATGAAATCTTCGGTAAGTTGTATTGTAATAAAGAATAGATAGTAATTTTAATAGTTGAGATCATGAATCCATTGAAGCTAGATCATCATGGGAAACCTGGAAGCACTGAACGGTCGTTTCGTTTTATTGTAGGATTTCTTAACAGTACGCATTCATGATCTCGCACCGCGGGATTCGAAACCAGGACCTATCAGTTTCGCTCGCGGTAATAATGTTTAACTTGAACAGATCCACGAAATTGAGTGAAACATCCATCAGTGTCTTCAGTGAGTTATTATCTCACAGCAGACTTGATTGAACTCCAATGGTCACTGCTTCTCACTAGAACATCAGGAAATACCTCTTGAAGCCAGTCACTAGTGAGCATATGTTGATTAATATCAGTAGGGTTTTTGTGGATATTATATTAATTTTAACAGTTCAGATCATGATTAAATTGAAGCTAGACCATTACCGTCCAGTGCTTTCAGGTTATCTATGATGATCTAGCTTCAATCGATTCATGATCTCAACTATTAAACAAAAAAATATGATTACTTTTCTTACCAGATCGTGATTTTGTTAATGAGTTTCCTATCAATTTCTAAAGTCTTCTCCTAATTTCCCCTTCAATTTGGAAGCTGGTTTGTCCTCTCACATAAAACGCTGTTGCTGATAGTATCCAGCCAGTGAATGCTGTGAACGTACCAGTTTCATCACTTTTTCAGTGAGTACAAATATCAGTAAAAGATTTCCAGAATCATATGTACAAAATATTGGTTCAGTTCATTACTACAAAAACAATACTGCTTTTGGCCATAAATAATCCATGAATTCTTTATTTCCTTCAGTATGATACTTAATCTACTTAAAAATAGCTGCTTTTTGTCATATTAATTCTTCACAAACAATACACGGTATTATAAGCATAGATGGATAGTGACTAGCAGTGTAATACTGGACGCGCGTTTCGTCCCATTTAGGACTCGTCAGCTGGATATACCTGCATCTCAGAGTTGATGTTCACTCATGGACTCGAACCTAGTACCTTTCACTTCAAACGCCATCTTTGCTTATAATGCTTGTGAGTGAAGGCTATATCGCGGCAATACGCACATTATACAAATATGCCAATATGAGATTAATCAGTTACAGTCCTAATAATCAATCGGACGATTCAAAAAATAATACCAAGTGAATTCAAACTTCACCCCATTGCACAAGCGAAATGGCTAACAAGACTCAGTAGCTGAGTGAATAACGCTACAGCGTTTGAAGCGAAAGGTACTGGGTTCGCGTCCCAGAGTGAACATCAACTCAGATGCAGGCACATCCATCCGACGAGCCCCAAATAGGACGAAACGCGCATCCTGAATTCCATTGTTAGCCACTATCCATCTTTGCTTACCATGCTTGTGAATTCAGGCTATATAGAGGCAATACTCACAGGATGCACATTTGTCAATAAGAGATTGACTGATCAATTGCAGTCCTGAACATAAACTGTAAGTATGATTGAAGAATGTTTTCAATATACTACTTAAATAACTCCATTCATTATTCATCTTATTTTAGGTAATTAAAATACATATTGTCATTTTATTTGATGGTAATCAACGTTTACAATATTTGAATAGTTTACTTAAATCAATATTTTATTATCAAAATGATAGATTTCGTTATGATATAAAATCTTGTTGCTATGCCGATTTTTGTGATCGATTTATCATCAATGATCATGTTCATGATAATCATAATCAAATTGTTCTAAACCCTATGGCAACAACATATATAACTGTATTACATTTCTTAGTAACTACCATTACATCCAATAGACGATTGATGAATTTCATGAATACATGGAAATTACGTAATATGGAATATTATTTTTACAATTGTAGCAGTTATCTGGTATGTTTTCATATCCATTTAAACTTTATATAATACCTCTTTTTTAATGATACTTGGTAACAGGTTGTATTGTCTATACGCTTAAGTACAGAACAACTTGACAGGTTGTTTCGTCTTAATATGGGATTAGTGTTGATTAGAGAAACTGTTTTCTGAACATGAAAGAAAAGGCACGAAATATGGAAGAAACTGTTTACTTACGGTCTTTATCTGATAAGTTTTCTAATTGAATGTTAGATTCGGTTCCTAGGCTCTTCTAGTTACCCCTAGACTAAATCTACACAGCGACTTGAACACGAGAAAAAAGATACAACATATGGAAGAAACGTTTTACTTTAAAGGTTCGTTTATGTACACAAAATCTAGGATTTCTTAGGAATTTTAGATGACTTTGGGTCTCCAACGAATTCCGGAACGCTACTAAACATATTGGCAGTAACAACCATTATCCAATCATAAACTCGACATGTGGTGTTTCACTTTCTAGATGTTTCTGGGGAAACGTCTAGTGAAAGCTAATTGGATAAGATGTTTGTCAATGTTTCCAGAGCCTGAAATTCACAAATTTATTGTATAAATATACTGTTCATAATAGTAGGATCGTTGTTTGGATATTTAAGGTAAAGTTCAGAAATGAAGTTATGGTCAGGTTTAGTTATATTTGTAACATATCAGTCCGATGTCAATACATTTCAACACTGGTTTTAAGTTGGAATCCGACTACATCGCACATCAATTTCAAAACTAGGGAATAATTTACCTGTAAACTAGCGGCTGCTGGACAAACATTGGATGTAAGATGACTCAGCAGGCCGGTGCAGTAAGGGTGTTGAACGTCCCAGGTGCCGGGTGGATACGGATGTTGGTGCCCCGGCAGGTCGACGGATCTATGGAGGTCAGCGCGCCGCAGACTCGACATTCTGACGGAGAGAAAGAAGATAGTGGCATGGCGAGCAGAACCACTGCATGAACAAATGTTTTAAAGGGGGGACGAGTGTGGTGTGGTCTACTTATATCCATATAAGTAGTATATGGTGTTGGTCAGCCATAGAATGTATTTTCGCAGAAGACCGATGAGGAACGAACTGAAATGAAGCGCAATCTGTAGAAAAATGCATGAACAATGGAATTAGAGAAGAAACAGTTACGATTGAGACAATGAGTTGTTAATTTGAAAACTAACTGTTCATTGTATGGTTATCAGAATTTACTCAGATAATCTGTAATTTGTACTTAAATGCATTCGATTATCCCCAGTCGTGTTCTGTTCACTACAAACTGAGTTACGATGAATACCATTCTTTCAGGTGATCAGATAGCATAGTACATCTACAAATGTTCTGAACCATTTATATGTATGCATGAAAACAAAGATTAAGATCTATGGAGATAACGAATCTGTCTACTTTAGTGCAGCAGATTTTACATCATACCACTTAGTGTTTTCGACCACTGATTAAGGTAATTATTCCAGTATGGTGTTTACTACTTATATCAATATAAGTAGCATATAATGCTACTCAGGAATAAAATATTTGGTAGCAGAACGTCGAGAAGATCGAGAAGGAAAGAAAAGGAACAGAAAGTGATCGCTATGGAAATGAAAGAACAATGGGGTCTGAGGCGATTGATTGACATTTATAAAGGAACAATTAAGTTTTAGACGATTGATTGATATTTTGCAAATGAGGTATTCACTACAAGATTCTAAGATTTTGCTAAGACATTTTGTAATTTTTGTTCAAATTCATTCTATTGTGATTGAGATCATGAACCGATTGATATTAGACTACAATCGAAAACGTGCAAGCACTGAACTGCCGTTCCGTCCTATTGTGGGACTCCTTAACAGTGGGCATCCACTATCATGCTCTCGGGATTTGATTGTCCGGAATTGTGTTCTCGTTCACTATAACAGTAATAACTTGAATATCTAAAATCTCTGTATAAATAGGACCATGTGTAAATGCACAAACGATTTTTCGTTATATAGACTTTAGTAAGCTCTCAGCGCTGCTACGATCAAAATCTATTTTGGTCGATATTGTAGGCCATGTTAGCTGGTGGACATTTTTGTTTAGCATTTATCCTAACTTCGTATATAGATGAGATTTTACAGTTTCATTAGTCAACCTGCTATTCTGACTCTGAATCAATTACACTAATAAAACATACCCTGATTATGCGATGGCGGAGAAGATTTGTAGCTCAGGTGGGTGATTTTTATGTTGGTTTGTTCTCTGAGCTGGATGGTTTGGTCGTGGAGCTTTCATCGTCCTTCTGAACGACATCATCAGCACAAACTTCGGGTAGAAGTGAAGTGTTTGAATTTCTCCACATGTGATTCACAGCTTGTCCTCTGCACCTCGATGTTGATTGGTTCTTATTAACCTTAAATCTGTCATTGTTTATTTCTTTGTTTTGGTTGTATCTCCTATTGGTTTGATTTTTGTTCCTATGTTCATGCACAATTTTCTTGATTGGTTGATAGATTGGATTGATTTCAATATGTTTGTTTATTGCTGATTGACCTGAGTGCCAAGCTTCTAAAAATTCTCTGGTATTTTTGGAATTGCCTCTGTCCAAAATCTGCACATTTTCCCAGTCGAATGTATGTCCGTAGTTGTCCACGTGTATTGATATGAGTGAAGAAATGTCGTGGCGTTTGACTGCTAATTGGTGTTCATGTAGTCGAAGATGCAGGGGGCGTCCGCTTTGTCCAATATAGTGTTTGTTGCAGTTGGTACAATTTATCTTGTAGATGATGTTTGTTTTGTCCTCTTTTGCCATTCCATCTTTTGGTTTGCATAAGATTGAGTGGGTTTGTGGGCTACACCTATTCCGAAGGTTTTCAGCAGCCTTGTTGTCGTTTCCGATATGCCCTTTATGTATGGTTGGGTGATCCTTTCGTTGATCTTAATACTTGATTTCGTTTCTGATGGTATGTGCGACTGGTATTTTTTGATGAAATTGATTGGATAGCCGTTCTTTTGAAGAATGGTTTTCAGGTGTTTTTCTTCATTTTTTCGTGCTGTGATTGTATTGCAGTGTGTTCTCGCCCTCTTGAACAAAGTTTGTACACAGTTGATTTTGTGAGTTCTTGGGTTGTTGCTATTGTAGTTGAGAATTTGATCGGTGTGGGTCGGCTTCCTGTGCACTTGAGTCTCTAGTTTTCCTGTGTCAGTTCTGGTGATTAATACATCTAAGAATGGTAACTTGTTGTCCGACTCTTGTTCCATTGTGAACTTGATGTCGTTGAAGACGTTGTTGATCTGCTTGTAAGTGTTTTCTAGTTCCTCCTTTTTGACGACGACGAATGTGTCGTCTACATAACGAATTCAAATTTTTGGTTTGATAACTGGTAGAATTGTGGTTTCTAGTCGTTGCATTACTGCTTCCGCGATGAGTCCTGATATTGGTGATCCCATTGGTGTCCCTTTTGTTTGTTTGTAGATTTTGTTATTGAATTGGAAATATGTTGTTAGACATAGATCTATGAGTTCAAGTAGGCTTTGACTTTGAAAATGTGCAGATTTTGGACAGAGGCAATTCCAAAAATACCAGAGAATTTTTAGAAGCTTGGCACTCAGGTCAATCAGCAATAAACAAACATATTGAAATCAATCCAATCTATCAACCAATCAAGAAAATTGTGCATGAACATAGGAACAAAAATCAAACCAATAGGAGATACAACCAAAACAAAGAAATAAACAATGACAGATTTAAGGTTAATAAGAACCAATCAACATCGAGGTGCAGAGGACAAGCTGTGAATCACATGTGGAGAAATTCAAACACTTCACTTCTACCCGAAGTTTGTGCTGATGATGTCGTTCAGAAGGACGATGAAAGCTCCACGACCAAACCATCCAGCTCAGAGAACATACCAACATCAAAAAAATACCCTGATTATAGAAGGACAAAATACTGACTAGGTACATCCTGCTTATCATCAGCAAACATCAGTCCACATTAAAAAACCTTTGAAATAATGTTGCTTAAAATCGAATTTCATGAAAATCCATGCTATTCCCGCTCCTGATTATCGTCCATCATATAAAAACCTTTACTTATAGACAATGAGGGATTTGAAATGAATATACGCAGCTTACGATTGATAATTCTCACATAAGCACATTGTAGGCAAATATCAATGATAAATTAACCATCTGATCTGTAATTTAAACGAACGAACAAGGTTGATTGATCAGAATTATGAATCGGCACTTAATGTAGGAGTGTAAGGTACCAACACCACACAGAATGTTTAATCAATATCATGCTACACATTCATAATTATCTCACGAAATCCAAATCAATGAGTCCACCCATTACACACAGCAACTGAGGTCATTGTACAAGTGTTGTGCTGCATAAATCTTCAGTATTTGAAAATACTCCTTTTTTGACGATATCTTCGTCTCCTCTTTGTTGTTATTGTTTCATACATCACCGGAAGTCATCAGAATTCAGACTTTTCAATTGGTTCACCGTGCTGTTTTGACGTTGATGGCTCATAACCATTTGGTAGTGATAAATCTAAACGAAATTTGAAATCTGATGGTCCGGAAAATAAAGACTGATTTACGATTAGGAAACCGTTTGACAGTAAATATAAGATGGTGGTTGGATATGGTCAACAGGAAACCCTGGACCTGGATTTCGTGCTACTTGGCACTCGTCAGCAAAGTGTACCTGTAATCTTGAGGGAACTGGTGCTTCCTGACGGGTTTGTTCCCGGGTCACTCAGTTTCACAGTCTGAGACGTTATCACTGAGCTATTCGGACAGTAAATATTGAACCGACAGCTTTTTTGGTTCACTTGGAGTGCATAATTAATATTCAGTGTAATGAAATGACAGTTTTGGATCAAAATTGTAGTGTGGTGTGCGCTACTGATGTTAACAGATATAAGTAGTATGTATTGTCAATCGAAAGTGAAATACCTGGTGGCAGAAGGTTAAGATGTTCGAAAAAAAGAGGACGAAGTTATAGAATGATTTGTGTGGAAATGAAAGAACAACGAAGTCTGAGACGATTATAAGTCCAAGTGACCTTACAGTGCTTACAAGGTTTTTCAATAGTTGTCCAACTTATATCATCCTAACACAACAATCTCTATAACCTTAAAATGATAACATGTTACTATTATTGATTTTGTTTTGTGTACTGTTTTTCCTAGGCTAATCTTCAATGGATTAATTCTAGACATCCTGCAGGGGCTAAACCATTTTTAAAACTAATGCTTACAGAGATCCTACCAACTAATATCAGTAAAGTGAGTCACTGTTAAGCTTCAAAGTATTTGATTTATTGTAATTCCAGTAATAATGCGATTCGGACCAGGGAAAACCAAATGAGTACTAATGAACGTTTTATTATATTTATTTATTTGAACACATAAATATTGGTACAAAGGAGCACCAGATATATATACGCCATACAAAATGAATGTCATTTCATTTATTTGTATGAGGGCTCTGATACTGTCCGGGTGCCCAGACCGAAGCAGGTGGGCCACACTCAGAGCCTTTGACCTGAAAGTCTAATCCACAAGGTAGTGGAGCATCGTAAGAAGATGCAGTCCCATGGTTGATTCATACGCAATTTGTTCCTTCAGGATACTGGATCCCATGTTCACCATTGGTTTGGAATCAGGGTTTTCCAACTCTCCTTGGTGAACTTTCCGTGTTCACCAACCTCGTTAAAGCGCTACACATTCGCATTTCATCCTCTCAATTTCGTAAACAACATTAATGCCACGAGTAGGCAATGATTAGGACTTCCCTAGCAGAGTCTATATACGAGTGGCCATGTGAGAAATATATGTCAAGAAACAGACTTCGGTCTGAGTCTAACTTACAACAGTTGCCCCGATCCTTATTATATGTATGAATTACTTTCAAGGTTACATTCAATGACGGTGGTAGTGTAATAACTAAGTTTATAATATTCAGTTAAAAAATAAAAATGACAACAACACAAACTAACATAAGTCCTCGTCCTCAAACTGAGAACGATTGTTAAGGAATTTTGTGCCAACTGATGATTCTTTTGTACTGGATTGCCCGCTGATTACGAATTCCAAATATAATACATTCATTTATGCTCATCTAAATCTACTTACTGTAAATTGTACTATGTCGGGAATGCCCAGTTATTACGATGATTTAAATACTTCTTATCATCATGGGAACATTACACACGGATATAATTAATCCCTACTAAACTTATTTACCTATTTGAAAACGTAATATTAATGGACTAAGATAAATACAAATGATGGTGTACTTGACGTTACTTACAAAGATGTTTATAAGTAGTGTATAGCGGTACGTGACTTTGAAATTGCTACAGCTGTCAGAAGGAATACTGAGCTTCAGTGTGTCAAAAGCACGGAGTTGATAGAACACATGGATATTAGCCCGGAAGATGGTTTATGCTGCAGAACATCCCCTGTTTCTTATAGTGCTTAACAATGGATGTATTTCCTCAGTAGTTTACAAACTCTTAGCTTCATCTTATGAAATATTAAATATACCATTTGTCAAAGGTGTTGGAAATGAGACTTAGTCTAACAAATAATAACGAATCTAGCAGGAAAAGTATTAAAATTGTATTAATTATCAGAAGGGGTTTTGTGGAGATTTAGTATGTTTCTGATAATTAATATAATCATATGCTACACTAGTGACTTCGGGAAGTACATCCAGGAGCTCTAGTGAGAAGCAGTGACCAGTGGAGTGCAAACCACGTCAGTCGTGAGATAGGAACTCACTGAAGACAATTGGTGAATGGTTGGTTGGTTGTAGTTAGACATTAACACCATTGGATGCCAGCTCAGTGGTCTATAGGTTAACGGGCTCTGGGGCGATACTGGTAGGTCCTGGGTTCCAATCTCGGGTTCATGGATGCGCTTTGCTGAGGAGTTTTATAATAGGACGAAACGGCCGTCCAGTGTTTTCAGGTTTTCCATTGTGGTCTAGATTCAATTGACTCATGCTTTCAACTATGAAACATATTAAAATTGTCTCATAAATAAGATGAATGAATGCAGCCATTGAAGTTTTCTAAAATGGAATTCCTCATTCTTGATAAACTAAGCGGGAGCGTGAATTGAAATAATCATTCAAGCGCAATAACGGCTATTTACAATATAATGTGTTCCCAAGTAGAAGGTAGGCTAATAGATATATACTGCGGCATACAGACAATCAAGTTTACCTTCCAATCAAAAAGTAAACAGTTGACAACTTATGTACTTCTAAATTGTCTACCGATTTTTCTTACAATGAACTATAATGACATCTCTCTCGATTCAGTAATAATTCAATGGGTATCTGACATTTCATCATATTATTGAACAATACCAAACAATATGAAGACAATTAGTGAATGGTCGCTCAAAATTCGTGAATCGGATGAAGTTAGACATTAGCGCCGTTGGATGCCGGTCAGCTCAGTGATCTATCGATTAAGGTTTCTGGCTCCAGACTGGTAGATCCTGGGTTCGAATGTCGCTCGAAACGCGAGATCGTGGATGCGCACTGCCACTGAGGAGTCCCACAACAGGACAAAACGTTCGTCCAGTGCTTCCAGGTTTTCCATGGTGGTCTAGCTTCAATTGACTCATGATCTCAACTTTGAAAAATATGAAGTGTTTTAAATGCTTGTAACACAAATATTGATTCACAAAACCTAATTTCCTGGTTAGAGTAGACTTTATGAGAATAACTGAGTAATATAAATGTTTTCTAGTAATTAATCATTTCTGATTTAGTAACAATATCCAAGTAAACCGGCGAGACTATAATTTATTGACGAGCCAATCAGGAGCGTTTGAGAGATTTCAAGCCGTCGATTTCAGTACCTGTTGCTCATGTTCGATCGGTTCATATAGGATTTTAGAGAAGACATAACAATTAAGCCGCTACAACAAATGTGACTACTAATAAGTTCCTGTATTTTTAATTGCGGTAATTAAATGACTTATAGACATTGTGCAGACTACTGTGATGTTGTCCATCGTTGTAATATATGTTGAAGGAAGACGTTTGCTAGAATAGGAACCTTTATCGCTAGATTCAGACTGAGACTAAGGCATATTATAATGATTGCCGCAAACTATATAATAAAAGCACCAGTAACATTGGCTGTAATAATCGTAAATGTTACTGATGCTTTGGCTGTTCAGTGGTATGAGTATTGTATGGACATATCCATAATGAAGATGATAAATTTACACAACCGGAGTACACACAAACAATATTGAAGCTATTTGGTCGAGGCTGAGTGGGTTTTTAAGACTTTATCACGGCTCCAGAGACCAACTATTATGGAGCCATATGGATGAGTTCCTGTATCTTATACATTACGATTTTGGAACCTTTGAACCTTTTTATAACATTGACAAGTTTTTGAACCATATGAAAGAAGTGTATCCACTTTAATAATTTGGTTTTATATAATATATTTTTGCTCTATACTAATTCTTTCCTGATTGGCTAATAATTCTCAAGATCACATTAGGGTTCGTTCAAAGGTCGTCCATAAATTTCGGTCTCGCCAGTAAATCAAAGATATCTTTGAATAATCGTCCTCAAAAGTCAAAGAAAACCGATTTCAAATGTATTTGATATAGTTGATGAGGTTCGTTTGAGGTTCTTCAGCCCAGATGGACGCTGATATATTTTTCATAATATCTTTCATACAAATCAATCGATTAGTTAACCGTTACACACACCTACGTGGAGTGGTATTTAAAGCATCGATAATATTTCAAGAAGTGAGAAACAATTGCTTAAAACATTCTGATCAAGCACCTTTTAAGAGCTTCTAGTCAAATTGTTGAAGGTGATTGGGTATACATCCTTGCTTCTAATTGGGAATTTATTAAGATATCTTGCATATAAACTAATTGTCAAATTAAAATTCCCTCTCAACTTCTTACCACCTATTTGGATGTTCAAAATTTAAGAGAGTGAATGAGTTTCTGAAGATTACAAAGATACTTGAAAGTTGACAGTTAGGCGTGGAAGGCTTACAAGATAGTCGGTTAGTAGAAGCTGAAACCATCACTATTCAATCAATATTTTATCGATTTGAGTTATGATTCAGTTACGTCAGCTTTATAATAAAAATTGTAGAAAGCTAAGGACAGAACTGGTATTTGATAAATAAAGATCACAAAGATCCTATTTGAAGACGTACAACATATAAATATATTATCAATTGTAGTTGACCTACCTACGTCATTGTGTAATTCTTTTCTAGGTTATCGTACTTGACACTGACATACTTCTTAACACAGACATTATTGAATTATGGAATCATTTTGAAAATTTCAGTCAAACTCAGGTTTGTTTATATTAACTTAAATCTTTAATATTGATGAATACGTTTTCTCTGAAGAGTAGTTAAGTCTTAGTATGCCATCATGGGAATAATGGGTAGTAAAATACACTTAGTATTGTTTGTTTGAATCTTCCCATCGATGTGTTCAGGACTGCAACTGGTCAGTCTCTAATTGGCATATGTGCATACTGTGCCTCGATATAGCCAAAATTCACAAGCATTTTAAGCAAAGATGGATAATGGCTAGCAGTGGAATGCAGGATGCGCGTTTCGTCTTATTTAGGACTCGTCAGCTGGATGTACCTGCATCTCAGAGTTTATGTTCACTCTGAGACTCGAACCCAATACCTTTCACTTCTAACGTCATCGCGTTATCCCCTCGGCCACTGACTCCTGATAGCCACTTGATTCTGCAATGGGGTGAAGTTTAAATGCATTTAGTATTGTTTGTTTGAATCTTCAAATCGATGTTTATGAAGAAGACGTCATCCATGATTTTACATGTAATAGAATCTGGCGGCTTGTGGTTACACAGAATCACTTGATACATTGGATAGATTATCAGAACTGCAGTAAAATTCAAACTTCATTCTAATCGTATTCTACATAAACAGTTTAAAAATTTATACTACTGAAATTACTAGTAGTCTAAAAAGTGAAGCAAACGTTTCTAAGATACATGTTTGGATTCACTAAAGGAATATGGATTATGTTCAGATACACAAAATACTTCAGTATTCAAATGCCTAAAATTTCATACAGACACAATAATGAGAAACATATACAAGCAGGTAAACCTTATATTCATGAAATGCTTAAGTAGAATTTCACCTATAGTCATCATTACTCTGTTTGGGTCATTTGGAACATCCGTCAACATGAAACTTTTATGATTACTAGGAGGTTATATTGGTTATCAATATATCTAATTAGTCTCCAATGGGACAAACAGCAGTTAAGAATCCATACAATAACCAAACCATACTGTAACTCATAACAGTATAGTAATGAAGCTTAAATTTCAATAAGCAATACATGTAGGAACATTTTATTCAGAATGATGGAACTAATGTTATTTATTTATTATTATTTAAACACATAAATATTGGTACAAAGGAACACCAAATACATATGTACCACACAAATCTCATTTGGTTTGTGTGAGGGCTACAAGACCGCCCAAGTGCCCAAACCGAAAAAGGTGGTTTTCTTTAGGTAGCCACACCCGGAGCCTTTCGCCTAAAGAACTGATCCATAAGGCAGTGGAACATCGTGAGGAGATGCAGTTCCATGTTAGCCGGTGACCAACGGTTTATTCATACGCCATTTGTTTCATCAGGATGCTGAAGCTCATATGTACCATTGGTTTGAAATCAGGGTTTTCCAACTCCCCTAGGTGGACACTCCACATCCACCAAACCGGTTAAAGCGTCGGACATTCGCTTTTCGTCCTCTCGATTTCGTAAACAACAGTAATGCCACGAGAAATAAGTGAGTAGGATTTCCCTGAAAGAGGTTATATACGCGTGGCCAGGTGAGACCATTTCGAGAGGGTGAGTGGACTCTCCCCACTCTCGGCCGTATCAGGGTATTTGGGGGAAATGGAAATAATGTACTATATTACAGTGGTTACCGGCTAGTTAGTTGACTAAACAAGATCTAGGAACCATTTAGGCTTGAAGTTCTTCTGTTATTTACGCTTTCTTCGAATGATTTACAAATATTCATGGCTTTTTTTATTTTCAAAGAGCATAGGTATTGGATTAGAACAAAATCCACATTTTCAAGATATGATGCCAAAATTAGAAAGTGAATGGGAAGTAAGTTCAAATGCTTTGAAATATCATTTAATGTTGGAACCAATCAACAATTTGGTATTTTCATAGTTGAAATCATGAGTCGATCGAAGGTAGACCACCATGGAAAACCGGGAAGCACTGTGACTTCTCGGTATTGCACATCCACGATCTCGCTCGCATGATTCGAACCCAGGACCTATCAGTATCGCGCCAGAGCACTTAACCGATACACTTATGATCTCAACTATGAAAATACTACTCTTCATAGAATAGTAGTAACTTCAAGTTAATTGTGTACTTTTTCCTTGTTTACATTAGATTGAATAGGGTAAATATCAATGATTCGTTTGCAAACTAATAGATGGCTTGTAAACAGCATTGAGTTTTATATCCATTAGCCTATGAGATAGAATATTTTTCATCCTTAGCTAATACAATGCTGTTTAAATTCAGTCATCAGGTTGAAGCTTTCACTCAAACGTATAGTGCCACTTGATATTAGCATACGGAGCCTTCGACCTAAAGGTCTGATCCACAAGACAGTGAAGCATCGTGAGGAGATTCAGTTACATGGTAATCGATGACCAACAACAGGGTCATACGCTATTCGTTCCATCAGGATCCTGATGCACATGTGCATCATTGGTTGGGAATCAAGGTTTTCCAACCGTCCTAGGTGAATCCTCTATATCCACCGACCCAGTTAAAGCGTCGGACATTCGCTTAACGTTCACTCATTTTCGTAAACAACAGTAATGCCACGAGAAGAAAGTGAGTAGGACTTCCTGTTGTTAGCTGTATGCCCCCGAATGCCCTGGTACGACCGAGAGTGGGGGGAGTCCGCTCACCCTCTCGAAATGCTCTCATATGGCCAGCGAATATATAGCCTCTGCCAGGGAAGTCCTACTCACTTCCTTCTCGTGTCATCACTGTTGTTTACGAAATTGAGAGGACGAAAAGCGAATGTCTGGAGCTTTAACCGGTTTGGTGGATGTGGAGTGTCCACCTAGGGGAGTTGGAAAACCCTGATTCCAAACCTAGACCGTCGTATGCCTTGATGGTGTTCTCATGATTTTCAAGTTACCTGATCTGCCAATGGTGATGGGACAGTGTATGACAGTATTGTTGTGTGCTAGGTTCAAAGAGAATTGTTTGCTATATGGATGCAAGTCCGCCCCGTTATTGTTCCTATTTCTACGTAAAATGTAATGAGTCATGTGTACAATCCTCTTTTTTTAGGGTTATGGGTATAATAATGGTGTACTATTATTTGATCTGTCTAAAATACGATTAACATTATGGAATGAGCTATGGATAGTTATAACGAGAAATGCATTAAATAATCATGGTTACTTAATCACTGGAGAACAGGTAATTTGAAACTATTTGCATTCTTATTAACGCTACACTATATTATAATTATCTGAATGCAGAATTCGTGAGTCAATTAAAGTTAGACCATCATAGAAAACTTGGAAGCACTGAACAGCCGTAAATGGGTCTGTTGTAAGATAGTAACTCACTGAAGACAATGGTGGACGGTAGTGCGATTTCTTGGATTGGATGAAGTTAAACAATGACACCGATGGATGCCAGCTAAATAGTCTATAGGCTAGGCGTCCACGTGTGAGATCAATAGGTCCTGAGTTCAAATCCCGCAATCGGTGTCGTAGGTGAGCACTATTGAGGAGTCCCGTACTAGGAGGAAACAATGATAAAAATTGGAATATACCATATACAGGGTGATATGTTAAGAACAATACAGATGATTTCATTTTTGCACTGGTTGTTGGAATCTTTCCATTGATATTTAGGACTGCAATTGATCAGTCTCTTATTGGCATTTGTAAATCCTGTACGGATTACTTCGATATTGTCTTAATTGACAAGCATTATGAGCTTGAATGAATGGTGGGTAGCAGAAGAATACAGGAAACCTGATTCGTCCTATCTGGAGATTATAAACAGGAAGCCGTTACTGTTCATATCATCAATGGGAAGATTCAAATAACCAATACAAAAAATGAATTAAACTTCACACCATTGCACAAGCTAGTGGATAACTGAAGTCAGTAGCTAAGTGGATAACCTGATATTGTTTGAGGAGAATGGTACTGGTTTCGAGTACCGGAGTGAATATCAACTCTGAGATGCAGGTATATCCAGCTTATAAGTCCTAGATAATATGAAACGCGAGTTCTGGGTTCCACTTTTAGCCGCCATCTGTCTCTGTTTATAATACGGATGAACTTATATGAATTGATGATGTTGTCTAGTATTTAATGTGTAATATATTAATCTTTTAGGCGTCAGGTCAGGTCAGCTACAACGTAGGACCAGGCACATATATGCATCGGTCCAAGTTGCCATACCTCGTTAGCACAACAAGATCAACACCGGATTCATAGTAGTTAATCTAGTGTTGGTAGTAGTATATAAATTATAGGTTGTATATAAGGATATAGTACAGGAAGGAAGAGAGATATGAAGCAATTTTAGTCTCAAGGTTTAAGGGAAGATAAAGAGTGTATACACCTACGTCATTGTGACCGATTCTGAGCCATGTCACCTAGAGTCTCCAACCATTGGTTACGATAGTCACGCGGACCCCAACCAGGTAGTCTGCATCTGCCAACATGGCTCAGGCTAGAAGTTAGTGACTTCAAACACTGATGCCATGTTTTGGTTTGGCCGCCCCTTACTCTCTTCCAACCGTCCCCAATACTAGTCATCATAGAGCGTCGTGGTAATCGGTGTTCAGGCATACGTAACACAACCATCTCAGTCGATGAAGATTCATCACCTCATCAACTGATTTACCATCGTTCCCTAATACCCTGCGTCTAACCTCACTATTACTTACCCGGCTATCCCAGCAGATGCGAGCAATATTTCTAAGGCATCTGTGGTCAAATACTAGTAACCTACAAGTATCTTCTACTCTTAATGGCCATGTTTCACAGCCGTAAAGTAGGACAGAGCGAACTGCTGCGCAGTATACTCGTCCCTTAATTGATAGACGGATATCTCGTCTACGCCATAGGTGACGTAAGTTGGCAAAAGCCAAACGAGCTTTTTGAATCCGTGCTGAGATTTCGTCTGACACCAACCCATTAGGGCTGATCAAACTTCCAAGATAAGTGAAGTTGTCGACGCGTTCGACTACTTCACTTCCTATCCTTAGTTCGAGTGTTGACGCAGGCCAGTCCTGGAGTAACAATTTACATTTGGATGGGGAGAAACGCATCCCAAACATCCTGGCATTATTACTGAGTTCCAACAGAAGACTCTGCATTTTGCCAGCGTCTTCACCAAACAGGACTATGTCATCTGCGTATTCTAAGTCGCTTAGTGGTCCCCCTGGTAGGAGATCAATTCCTGAAAATTCAGTCGAAGAGAGTGTTATTTCCAGCAACAGGTCTATAATGAAGTTAAACAAAAATGGGGATAGTGGACAGCCTTGACGGACACCACTTGAGGTTGTAAAATCATATGACAGTTCGCCATAAGCTCTCACTCGACTAATAGTGTTCGAGTAAAGAGCCTTCAAAAGGTTTATGTACTTCTCAGGTACACCTTTCAATGACAGACACTGCCACAGAACCTCTCGGTCTACAGAGTCAAATGCTGCTTTCAAGTCAAGAAAAACTATCATTGTCGGACGCCGATAAGCGTGTCTGTGCTCTAAAACTTGACGAATGGTGAATATGTGGTCGATACAGCCACGACCAGGTCTGAAGCCAGCCTGATTTTCTCGTGTTTGCAGTTCACGAGTCTTAGTTAGGCGCCCGATAATTATTGAGGCTAGTATTTTAGATGCTATGTTAGTCAGACTAATCCCTCTATGGTTATCACAGGATGATTTTGACCCCTTTTTATATATTGGGACAATCAGTGATTGTGACCAGTCGGAAGGGATTACATCCGTCTACCAGATTTTAGCCAGAATATTAGTCAACCTAATCGCTAAAATTGGACCACCATATTTAAAGACCTCTGGAACCAATCCATCAGGACCAGCTGCTCTTCCTCGTTTCAGATTACTTATAGCTTTCTGAACTTCAAGTAGGGTCGGGGGGCCTACTTCAATGTTCCATTCAGGTTTTCTAGGAGTAGTGGGTAGTTGTGCAGTAGCTGAAGGCCAGCTGAACTGCTCCTTAAAGTGTTCCGCCCATCGTTCTAAACGTTTGGGTTGAGAGCAGATAAGGGTTCCGTCTTTTTCGGAGATTGTCTCACTTACACTTGACTTCTTAATTCCGGTTTCTTTTATTAGTCTGAATAGTTGCCTGGTGTTGCCTTTTCCATCTCTTTTGCTTTCGTTGCCCACCACTGCTCACGATCGTTCCTTAGACTTTTAGTTAACCTAGATCTAATTTGTTTACGCTCTTCGTCGTGTTCAGAGCCTGATGGGGTGAGTTTACGCGAATCCATCAGTGAAATAGACTTAGAAGAAATCCACTGATTTTTTGGAGCCCTATGGTTTAAATAACTAATAGATGTTACTGCTGTTTCCACAGCTGTTCTTGTGTCTTTCCAAGCAGCATCTGGGTCAGTCTCGTTTACAGAACTGCCTAGATGTGAACTCAGTTGTTTCTGGAATTCGCATTTGGCTTTCTCGTCCTCCACTTCAATCCTAATGGGTCTTCTTAGTGTACTTTTCCTGCGTCCATTGAGGCGCAGACAAATGCGTGCTCGTATTAAAGCGTGATCAGAGTCTAAACAAGTATTCCAATACGAGCGACAATCTTCTATTGAGCCTCTCCAACGATGACTGATGACAATATGGTCTATTTGAGTCCATCGTTGGTTTGGTGCAGGTGGTCGCCATGTTAGACGATGTCTCTCCTTATGTTTAAAATTAGTGCTTGCTAAAAATAAACGATTGTCTGAGCATAGTTGCAACAGACGATCACCATTATCGGTTCGTTGAGCCGGAATACTAAAACACCCACCTAAATGTTTTTCTGTTTGATTCAAGCTGCCTACCTGAGCATTAAAGTCACCCGCTACGACTACTATGTCTGAGCGCTTAGCTTTCTGAAGAAGCTCAGAGAGTTTTCTGTAAAAGTCATCTTTTACTTCAACATGGCTGCAGTCAGTGGGAGCGTAGGCAGAAACGACGAAAAGGCAACGACGTGTGTCCCTATCCTTCCGAGTTCTTATGGAGCCATTTAGCCGGACAGCACACAGGCGACTGTTAACGGGGATCCATTCTAGTAGTGCCTGTTCTGCCCTTGTACTTAGTGCTATGCCTACACCTGCAAGTCCGCGAGAACTAGCCAACGGGTCGCCAGATACACGGAGGGTGTATTTCGTCGGCTGTCCCTTTTGGCGAGGTGAGGTCAAGTGAATGACCACACTGGGATCCTGTATGCGTGTTTCGGAGACACAGCATACATCAATGGTACGAGATTCTAGGGTTTTAGCTAAGGAGGCCTGTTGACCGATTTGGCATAGGGTACGTACGTTGAAGGCTCCAATGTGTAGTTTGGAGCGAGGTTTAAGTAGACCTGGGACAGCGTTTCGCGCACTAGAATCGTTGGCCATGGTGACACTTGAGGAGGAAACCGAGAGAGGAAGTTTAGTGTTGAAAGTCAAGGTAGAGGGAATAGTAGGAATTGAAGAAGGAGATTGATTATGAATACAGTGGTTTTGAGTGCTGTTAGAGGTATGAGGGCAGTTATCACTTCCCGGTTGCCCACACCGTGGAAGGATTCTTCTAGAGGTACCTGAAAAGGAAATTGGGTTAGGAGTGGTCTTAATGACCTGAGAGCGTGACCGCAGTGCCCAAGGGACAACTGCTTGAGGTCGGTCACACACGACCTTTTTGTGGGTAGTTTTTGTGTTAGCTCCGTTCTTCAAAAAAAAAACCTTACCGCCGGAGACGGAAATCCGTGGGATAAGGCGAGGTGTGCATTTTTAGGGTCGACCTTTTCTAACCCCACCCCTTCTTGTGGGAAGGCAGCATCGCTGTCATGCTGGTTGTCTGAAGGAAACACCTTACTGCCGTCACACCTCTGTACAGTCAGCAGTACGACTTCGCCTTCGGACCTTGGGATTGCTGCTTTTAGTCTCACCGCTCTTCAACCGACCTGTCTGGCATGGTAGGACCTCGAGGAACGACTGTTCCAGCCAGCATAGCTCGATTGCTTCATCACGATAGGCAAGCCCGACCACCACGTCAAGGTAGCAGCAACGATCGGGCGTAATAGAATATTATTCATCATTTGAACTTTCATTCTTTCAATACTGTCAACTCTTATGAGACCACACTCGGAAACCTCGACCAAAAGGTCTGATCCACAAGGTATTGGAACCACGTCAGGATGATTTCTTACCAATAGACTTTTAGTCTAAATCTACTTTTTAAATGATTATTCCTAGATATGATTGGCCTTTGCACATACTATTATTTGAACATATAAATACTGGTACAAAGAGATACCGAATACATATGCGCCACACAATTCACTTGATTTGGGAAGGGACTATGAAACTACCCATGTGCCCAAACCGAACCACGTGGTTTCCTTAAGGGACCACACTTGGAGACCTCGACCTAAAGGTCTGATACACAAGGATTTGGAACCACGTCAGGGTATACAAGCCCATAGTACCCAGTGACCAATACTCGGTTAATATGCTGTTTGTTCCCTAACGATCCCTGTGCTAATGTGCACCATTAGTTTATAAACAGGATTTTCCAACTCTCCTAGGTCATTTTTTCACTTGTTCTAAGGGATTTTGGGACATGTTTAAAAAATCCAAGAAATTTCTTCCTTTCTGTTCGACCAATGTAGCTGCTTTGACAGGGACACTTAAATTTATGAACACGGTTGGCGGTAACATGAAAGTGGTGCTTAACGATTTTTCATTATCAGTATCAGACTTGAATGTTCTGTCTCTTCCAGATAAATCACTCTCTGTTCTTGTTCTCTTCAATTCCATCTTCTTAACCTTCTGACTCTAAGCATTTCAGTACCCATTGACGAGACATACTACTTATATCTGTTGATATTAGTAGCGCACACTACTATATAATACTTTAATAGTTATCAGAAGGGGGTTTTGTGGAGATTCGAACACAGGACCTATCAGTCTCGAGCCAGAGCACTTAACCGATAGACCACTGAGCCGGCATCCAACGGTGTAGATGTCTACCTTCAACCAATCCACGCAATTGTGCGGCCAACTTCCATCGTACTGAGGTAGATACCTGTCTCTATCTGATATGGATTAGATATACTGGTCACGATTTCTCACTAGAACTCCAGGAATTATCTCGCGAAGTCGGGATCGTGGATGTGCACTTCTCAGGAGTCCCATAATACGACGAAACGACCGTCCAGTGCATCCAGGTTTCCCATGGTGGTCTAGCTTCAATTGACTCATGATCTCATCTGTTATGTAGTAGCGAAGACATAAGTACGGGTAACTAGATTATCTATATCTATATTAATCTTATTGTAAGCTTCATTTTGACATATTGATTATTATTGTATGATTTACTGTTCCTAAGTTATGCTCAGTTTTATTGATTATTGTCTCCCACGCTTACAGCCTCATTTGGCCTGGTTTTGTACAAATATAATTTTCTATTTTATGGTATGGTGTGGTCTGCCTGTCTGGTATATAGATAAAGTATGTTTGAAATAAACGATTCGCATTACAGCAGCTGCTATTGGTGTTTTTGGACTCAAGTGGACGGGTTAGGCGGATAAGGGCCAATAAGGACGCTAGATTACTCATACTAATCGGACGTCAATGTCACAGTGTGAAGGTCGTAGAAGAGGTATTCTATTGGTGGACAACTTACGCGAATTACGTCCTTGTTAAATTCGTAAGGTCATAACGAATCAGTGACGACCTTGATCAAGTCATAACAATTGGCTACCGCCTAGGTCAAAAACATAACAAATTGGCGACGGCTAGGTCAAGTCATAACATCATCTATAAAAGATTTAATAATTATTTGTTTTCTTATCAATTTTAGGATATTTTGAATCTGGTATTATTTGAATTTAAACATCTTTTATATGAGATACCATGTGAATGGAATATTCAATTAAGTCAAGGAAGTGATCCACATCGATGTCCTGTAAGTTGGTTAACTTATACAGAATTAAAAAGACGAAATTATACAACAAGATATAAACAACCAAAACTTATACATATTAATCATCTTATCAAACCAGATAATGTATTCCTGGAAGAGATCTCAATTGAATACATTAATCATTTGGATATCCTTCTTAAACGTAAGTCAATGTAATAGTTAAATAATATGAAACTAATCAGAAGGGGTTTTGTGGAGATTTCAGTATTATCATAGTTGAAATCATGAGTCAATGGAAGCTAGACCACCAAAGAATACCTGGAAGCAATGGACTGCCGTTTTATCTAGTGACTAGTGGAGTTTAATCAGGTCTGTTGTGAGATAACAACGCATTGAAGACAATTGGTGAACGGTTGCTCAAATTTCCTGGATTGGTTGAAGATAGACATTAACACTGTAGATTTCAGGTCAGTGATCTATCGGTTAAGTACTTGAGTGCGAGACTGGTAGGTTCTGGGTTCGAATCTCGTGAGGTGAGATCGTGGAGTTCCATAATAGGATGAAACGGCCGTCCAGTGCTTCCAGGTTTTCTTTGGTGATCCAGCTTCAATTGACTCATGATTTCAACTATGAAAATTTGGAACTAAGTGTACACAAACTCCGATATACTGAATGCCCTTTAAGTTGTTATAGTCAAGGTATTGAGATAAGGAAATTATGACAATTGATTTGAAATAATAAGAAGTTGAAGGTTAATATTAATCGTTTTTTTTCATAGATTTTATCATCATAACTAAATGGGATGAAAGTAGTGAAGGTAAAATGAAGTCGATAAGCTTCATTTCATAGTTGAGTTCATGAGTTCAATAAAAGTAGATCATCAAGGGCTACTTGGATGCACTGGACGGCCGTTTCATCCTAGCATTGGACTCCTCAGCAGTGTGCACTGACGGTCCCTCTGACGAGAATTTAACGCAGGACCCCCGGTCTCGTGTGATAGCGCCTAACGTTTAGAAGAATAAACCGGCATTCGATGGTGTTAATGTCTCACTTCAACTTCATTTATATTAAGAAAATCAAACATGTAAAATACAGTTGAAAAAATTGAATGAAATCAAAGAATGGAAGTATGAAGTAATACTGATAGCAAAGACTTAAAGAAACACAAAGAATGAAAAGACTTATTCAATCGTTACATAAAAGATTCAAGATGTATAAAAACAAGATTTATGCACTTGATTTTACAGTTTATGGACTCGTAGTTTTACGTTAGCTGACTTTAAACTTCTTCAGAATCAATCCTATCTTGCTCAACCAATAGAGTCATATAACTGCACTATGAGAACTCGCATATTTACCGATCACGTTCACCAAATATTGGAATCACATCTCTGTGATTCTAATGTATGATTGAGATGCTTTAAAAACATTCTTCTGTGAATATTGACGGCACACAAAAAGAATTAGTGTTACAAAGCGCTATACGGTACACTTTCTCTTTTATTGATAGACGAACATCTCACTTAAGCCTGTCTTACCAACCAGAAATATGTTTACCTCCAGGTATACTATTTCGTCTATCACTTGTGACCGAAGCTTTGATCAGTTATACATCTCAAATGGCAAGGTTTAGCGTGGGTTTAAGGCAGAGAAATCCTAACTCCTGTTAATCAGGGACGTATACCCATTACCTATCCACTATTCTTCACTTCAATAATAAAACATAGCAGTTAAGCGTCTGCTGTTGAATCGCAGGGACCATCTATTTCAAGCATCCATTAGTTCGTATACCTGAATTATCGGGTGGCACTGCACTCTAAATATAAAATTATACTTTACTTACACTTACTCCACTCGATTGGATGTACATGGATCTCAGTGGACAGTACTGGGTTCGAGTCCCAGATTGAATATCAACTCTGAGATGCAGGTATATCCAGATGACGAGTCCAAAATAGGACGAAACGCGCGTCCAGTACTACACCGACAGCCACTATCTGTTTTTGTTTATAAGCTAACACATGTTTAAATAGTTCAAACGAAACAATGTAGGATATTTTTAGTACATTCATAATCGGTCAGAATATACCAATGCCAAGTTATTCTTGGACAAGGTGAATTCTCATTACTTTGTGTATGTAAGATGGTGGGTATAGAGAACGTATCCATTTGTATTATGATGTAGTGGAGTTGAAATTGTGTGTATGTATGTATGTATGTATGCATTTATGTATGTATGTATGTATATTGGTGTAGATTGTGCGGGAAATAGATAGAGCCAAATGTACTGCAAACGCTCTGCCTTGTATTAATTTCATACGGTTATTCATTTACTCTGAAGAAGTCATTTAGATTAAATAGCGAAACATCAGAAATACAACTTTTTCTATTGATTAGGATATTGCAAAATATTTAATTATGATTGACTATCGACTCAATATTCAATTCATTGGAGACTATGAAGTCAAATCTTGGCATAGATACACACAGTGTGGCATAATATTATAAAGCATTGTTCTTACTTACCATAATGTCCGGATACTATCAGCAACAGCGTGTTATGGGAGAGGACAAACCATCTTCCAGCTGAAGAAGAAATTAGGAAAAGACGTTAGGAGTGAATAGGATATACATAAAAAAATCACCAATGTACATCACGAGGCAATCCCTAACTTGGAATCCGGAAAGAAAGCGGAAAATAGGAAGGCCAATAAACATATTACGCCGAAGAATAGAAGCAGATATGAAAACGATGAGTAACAACTGGAAGGAACTGGAAAGGATTGCTCAGGACAGCGTTGGATGGACAATACTGGTGGGCGGCCTATGCTCCTCGACGAGGGGTAGCAGGCGTAAGTCAGTAAGTTAGTAAATAAACCATACTATCACTGACTATCATTATGTAATGGTGTTTATTCACTACTGAATCTTAATTTTATTTGTAGAGCATGATCTATATTACAAATTCGTATCTGTATACCGTCAATATACAAGATTACATGTGTCATGTTTCCGATAGATTCAATTGAAGAAGCAATCATTTTGATGGTGATGTTTTCAATCATGTGACTTATATACCATTCTTTGTTCTGAATGAATAGAGTTGATTACCTTTTATTTTTGTATCTATATAAATACACTTCCAATAAATCTAATTGATGAAAACAAATGATATTCTAAGAAGAAGGTGTTTTTTGGAGACTTCACTATTTTTCGTAGTTGAAATCATGAATCAGTTGAAGCTAGACCACCATGAAAAACCTGGAAGCACTAGACGGCCGTTTCGTTCCATCATGGAACTCCTCAGCAGTGAGCATCCACGATCCCTCACTTGCGAGATTCGAACCCAGAACCTACTAGTCTTGCGCCAGAGCACTTAGCCGTGGATTGGTTGAAATTAGACATTAACACCGTCGGTGGCCGGCTCAGTGGTTTATCGGTTAAGTGCTCTGGCGCGAGACTGGTAGGTCCTGTATTCGAGTCTCGCGAGTGGGGAATCGTGGATGCTCACTACCACTGAGGAGTCGCATAATAGGATGAAACGGCCGTCCAGTTCTTCCAGGTTTTCCATGGTGGTCTAGCTTTAATTGATTCATGATTTCAACTATGAAAGATATTCTAAAACTATTTATTTTGATTATGGATGTGATGTTTGTATGAACTAATGATTCTTTTGTATTTGATGATTGTCTGATTTCGAATTCCAAATAGAAGGCGTTCATTTATGTTCATGTATTACTTCTTGGTTATATGGAGTTGTTTCCAGGATTCTTAGTTTCTACTATAAATCAAACACTTCTAATCATCACAATGTACCTAATAAGTCGATGAAATATAATTGTTGAACAGGATGATTGTGGAAGGTAGGTGAGGCTTACTGAGTATGAACAAAGTGACGGAAACTGACATTTTGTCATTAGTTGAAATGAGTCACGATAATTACTGCTCAAATGAAGACAGAATTGTTAGAGTAAGTCCTCAAATTTAGATTTGATATTCTGTTGCTAGGAAAGTGAAATTTTGCAAATATTTACATTTACAGTTTACATCATGGCCTGTAACTGTGTGGATAGCTATTGAGAACCAGGAAGAACTGCACGTATGCTCAACTCTAGTATGACACTCCTCAGTATTTGTATTTACAACTAAACAAGGAATCAAATCCTTGAACCTTAAGGTGTCTCCGAGAGCGCTGAATGTTTAAACAACTGAGCCATCATTACATGGCCTTCATAGATAACTTCAATTATTTAACGATATTGCCAAACTTGGGTGAATTTCATTGATCACAGGAATGTAAATAGTAACACTCAACGATTTTGAGAAAACGCTTTACTTATGTTACAGAATAAATTTGATTAGATAGTCCCCTTCAATCCTACCTTTTAGGTAAGAGCAAGAGAACCTTAACATTGCTTATCCATTCAAGATATCAAATATAGGGAACGTAGAGAAAGTAATCCTGGATTTTATATGACACAACAAAGGAGATGGCAGAGAAATATATGAAGCTATGAAAAAGAGAAGACAACCACCGAGATTCAAGAACAGTGGAACAGGGAGGTAGAAAACTTTGATGGATTCTTAAATAAGCCAAGTCCGTTGAATCCAGTGGATATCAAAGCAACAGACAAAGACATTCCTAGAAATGTCACTCCGTCGATGATTGAAGAAATTAGCATAGCCATCAAACCAATCAAGAGTGGGAAAGCAGCAAAACCAGACAACATCCTAATTGAAGCATGGAAGTTAGACATAGAAGTAACTGCAAACATGTTCCACACTCTATTCAGGAAGATTTCGGAGGAATAACAAGTGCCGATAGACTGCAAAGAAGAATACCTCATGATACTTCACTACCCACCATCCTTGTAGTCCATGAGCCTTAACTACTAGTTATAATGTAACATTGCTTGGGTTTCAAACGCCTAACTAGTAACTTTTTATTACGTTGATCAATAAGATTCAGTCAGTAGTGAAAATGACTTGACATACACGATATTGATTACAATTGTACCCTACTGATCAGTGCCAAATAGTACAAAATCCTGATAATGAGTCTCCTGTCAAAAATTTCCGACTACCACCTTACATGTGAACATTATGTACGTGATGTCAAGTCACTAGATTATTAGAGTGCACATTGCCATTTGGTCGATTTAATACCATCAGCAATTAGAAGAACTTCATATACATGACATTTGTTACTGCTCAGTCGATTGTAAATATTACTTCCTTTACACTTTCAAATAACGTCCGTAGCTCCATCGAATCTCATCACTCACTTACCACCTGTCAAACACATATAGACTAAACTATTTTATATTCTCACCTGGGACTACTTTTTCGTTATTTTTCTACTTGAATCCCTACTAAGCTTCACAAGTTTATTAAGTTGCCATCTACATATATTGCTGAGACTTTTCTTCACAGTGATCAACCTTACTTGTATTCATATCCTATTTTCTCTAATCATATAAGCAATATATGTATCTTCTGTTTTGAAATAACGATGTTGTTTCCGTATTACAGACTTCGTAAATCAGTAGAAATACATCTACATTCCAGCTAATGGGGTATATCACCTTATGCAATCCTATTATCGTTTAGCATCTAGAATAACTTTATCATGAAACTCTTACTACTTTAGTGAACAAGAACACGGGCGGTGACAATCGAATGTATTTGATCTCAACATAAAAGAATATCTAATTAAAATGTGAGAACCATATAGTGAATACTTCATTTGCAAAATAACAATCAATTGTCTCAATTCGACTGTTTCTTCTGCAAATATCCGTCCATAGTCTCCGACTATAATTGTTCATTCATTTTCGTACCAATTGCTTGCTGTTCCCGTTCTCTCCTTATCGATCTTCTAATGAAATACATTTGAATGCCCTACCGTCACCATATACTACTTATGTGGATATAAGTAACCCAAACTACACTACTAGTATTATCGTTATGTAAAAAAGGCATTTCACATGCACATTGTCGTGACGAATTTAAAATAGTACATTTTCTACCAATTTGTCAAATCCTCTATGAATGTGTTCTATTTGTAATTTTGGTTATTTCAAAATAGATATCATTTGTCTTACTTCCACATTCTGAAAGAACAATAACCTATAGTTGTGCTTTTATCACATTCCTTGCTTACTTATGCCTGTTACACCTCGTGAAGGAGCATAGGTCGCTCACCAGCATTCTCCATCCAACTCTCTCCTGGGCAATCTATTGCAGTTATTTCCAGTTAACATTCATCCGCTTCATATCTGCTTCTATTTCCCGACGTAATGTGTTCTTTGGCCTTCCTCTTTTCCGTTTCCCCTCCGGATTCCAAGTTAAAGACTGCCTTGTAATGCACATTGGTGATTTCCTAAATATATGTCCGATCCACTTCCAACATCTTTTCTTAATTTCCTTTTCACATGGAAGCTGGTTTGTCCTCTCCCATAAAACGCTGTTGCTGATAGTATCCGGCCAATGGATGCTAAATATTTTGCGCAGACAACTGTTTATAAATACTTGTACATTCTTGACGATGGATGTAGTAGTTCTCCTCGTTTCAGCTCCGTACAGTAGGACTGTCTTGACATTCGTATTGAAGATTCTCACTTTGAAATTAATTGACAGTTGTTTTTATTTCCATATCTCCGCCTGTAGCTCTTCTAGAGTTACTGCTGGTTCCAAGCTGGGGTAAAGGAGGAGGATTGGGCATGGGGTTAGCGACCCCATCTCGTTGAAAAACTAACTCAAAAAATTCAAGATCAGACAAACCATATAACAGAGCAATCATCCTACTGTTATCATTTATTTTCACAATTGATTAATCACTGGGTGGTGATCAATGTCACGTATGTCAAGTCTTTCTTTTGTGCTGCCCGAGTAGCTAAGTGGTAACGTCTCTGACTGTGAAGCTGAGTGACATGGTATCGAATCTGTCAGGGAGCACCAGTTCCCTCAAGATTACAGGTACACATTACTGACGAGTGCCAAGTAGCACGAAACCCAAGTTCAGGGTTTCCTGTTGACCACCTCCAACCACCATTTTATCATTTATTTTGTATGCTATTGTATATCTATCCTTGTTTATTCTATTAGACATTGTACTTGGTTTCATAGACCGAGTTATTTAATTCTCTCGTATGCACGTGAATGTCTCTGTACAATGTGTATTAGTTATTGTCTGCTATGAATTATACGTAGACACGTTCAACAAATCGAAGGCAGGTTTGAGGGTCACATTACTTTCTTCCATAAAATACAATCTGTTGATTATGAAAATAGAATCGTTGTTAGTTAATATAGTTGTCTCATTTACCAGAAGATAAACTATGACTCCATCATATAAGTAAACTAATCCATTATTTTGTTGTAGTAATTTGATCGGTATTAATTCTGTATATTTTTAATAGTTGAAATTATGAATCATTTGAAGGTAGACCACCTTGGAGAATTGGGAGCACTAAACGGCCGTTTCGTCCTATTGTGAGACTCTCCAGAAGTGCGCATTTATGATTCGAAACTCAGGACCTATCAGTTTTGCGCACGAGCGCCTAATCTTTAGACTACTGAGCCGGCATCCAACTATCAAAATTACTTTAATATCCACAAGACCCTTTCTGTTATTAATCAACATATGCTCACTAGTGACTGGCTTCAAGAGGTATTTCTTGGAGTTCTAGTGAGAAGACGTAACCGGTGGAGTTTAATCAGGTCTGTTGTGAGATAGTAGCTCACTGAAGACATTGGTGGATGGGTAGCTCAATTTCGCGGATCGGTTAAAGTTAGACATTAACAACGTTGGATGCTAGCTCAGTAGTCTAGAGGTTTAGGTCCTGGTTTCGAATCTCGTGAGACGGGATCATATATACACACTGCTGAGGAGTCCCACAATAGAACGAAAGGGCCGTCCAGTGCTTCTAGGTTTCCCATGGTGGTGTAGCTTCAATTGATTCGTGACCTGAACTATTAAAATTACAGTAATATTCACAAAACCCCTTCTGATATTAATTATATATACATTAATAGTGATTATTAATGCAAATATGATGAACATTACTGTTCTGTTGTTAAAATAAAGATAATAATGATTACTGAATACTATCATATAACATAAACAATAAGCGATTGGATTCGAATGAACTGTACGATTCCAATATTGTAAAGTTGTTAGTAAACGGGTACTAGGTTAAGATGGCAATTCGATTGATGAAGTAGTGAAACTTCATCAGTTGAGATGTCTGGGACACGTGTTACGTATGCCCAACTACCGACTTCCCCAACGTGCGATGTTTTATGGTGTAGGAGTCGGTTGGAAGAAAGCTAAGGGCGACAAGATCAAAACGTGGCACAAATCCATCAAGTCACTGACAATTGAACTGAACCATGCTGGTAGGTGTAGCCTACCTGGTTGGGATCCGCGAGATTATAGGAATCGATGATTAGAGAATTTGAATGACATGGCTCAAAATCGTTTGCAATGGCGAAGGTGCATCCACTCATTGTATTCTCCCAAACTCTAATCTTCTGAATTCTTCATGTCGCTTTCTTTTTTCTCTTTCCAAGTTTATTTCACTGTATTATACTCCTTGAATAAGATCTTCAAACCCTAATCTTTCGGATTACCGTTCATACTTTTACAACTTCTACCACTATGAGATTAGAATCGACAACTGCATCTCTGTGCTAATGTGATATGGCAACTCGAACTGATGTACGTACGTACGAAGTTATACGTTATGATTGACTGACTGACATCATTTCTATGATATTCGAGTAATGGTCGAAGAATTCTTCATAACTTAGATAACTGTATCATATATGTCTAAGTTAACTGATAATAAACTTTTAGATATTAATTCTATCAAGTAAAACTATAGTTTTTGTTTCGATGTGAGGGGAAGCAATCGTCGGAAATAATAACCCTGTACAATGTATATCATGAGACTATGAACATTGAAATGGTTCTTGGTAAATTAATGAGCCATTAAAACGAACCATATTTTTTGTATGTTGAATATGTAGATTGTACTGAATTGAAGTTACCTCCTCACAAACATCTCTACCAAGCACATTGTTACAATTTATGAAGTGTCATTTTGTGAATGTTAACATCACAGAATCATTACGTTAGCAACAAACTATCTTACATTAACACCGAATGTGGTTGAACTAATTCATCACTATTTTATACAAGTAACATTGGTTACACAGTTTTGAAATGAAATTATGTTAGTTATATGATAAGCCATGAGCTGTAAGTAGTCTTCGCACATTAAAATTTTGTGAACCATTCAACTCCAAATTTAGTCTGTTCATCGAACCAGTAAAACCTTCTTAGAGGAATGCTCACACACACTCAAATGTAGCAGAAGTCTCTGCATCAAAAAGCCTCAACATACACAAAGGAAAAAGCAAGATTCTCAAATACAACACGGCGAACATCAACCCAGTTACATTTGATGGAGAAACTCTGGAAGAGTTGGAAACATTCACGTTCCTGGAAAGCATCAATGAAAAACAAGGAGGATCTGCTGCAGATGTAAAGGTGGGGATTGGCAAAGCAATGGCAGCATTTCTACAATTGAAGAATATATGGAACTCAAAACAACTGTCAACTAATTTCAAAGTCAGAATCTTCAATACGAACGTCAAGACAGTCAACTGTGCGGAGCTGAAACGAGGAGAACTACTACATCCATCGTCAAGAAGCTGCAAGTATTTATCAACAATTGTCTACGTAAAATACTCAACATTCACTGGCCGGATACTATCAGCAACAGCGTTTTATGGGAGAGGACAAACCAGCTTCCAAATGAAGAGGAAATTAGGAAAAGACGTTGGAAGTGGATAAGACATACATTGAGGAAATCAACAATGTGCATATTATGTCGGGAAATAGAAGCAGATATGAAGCGGATGAATGTTAACTGGAAAGGATTTCCCAGAACAGAGTTGGATTGAGAATGCTGGTGAGTGGCCTAAGCTCCTCCACGAGGGGTAACAGGAGTAAGTAAGTAGAAAATACCTTTAGTTTCAAAGAACTTGATTTTATACTTGAGACTTTATATTATTGATCAGCAGATTATTTTGTGTGTGATATGGAGATTGACAGTTTAATCGGTCTGAAAGTGAATGACGTATGGAACTGACTGTTTCCAATAGTATGTGATATTTACTGACATCTTTAGAATGATTATAGGTGCTTAATTGAATAACATGGTGAACATGTGTCCACACGGTATTTTTGTTAAAATACAACTCAGTTCATCTGATACAAATCTAAATTTTAATCCAAGTGTAAACAAACCGAATCAAAAGCAGCGTACTCTCAAATAATATTGACTTTTGAGAGTTAAATAAATCCTTAGCACCGGTGTTTGGTTTTGTATCTAGCTCCTTTTCTCTTAAGTTTAAGTTGCTATGTAGATCTATTCTAGGGTTCTTAGAACTGGCTAAGAAATCGGATCGAACGTTCAATTAGCAGACTTATCAGTCTTTAATTGTAACTGACAAATAGCATAGTGTTAGTTTAAGTGGGGGGGTTGTGATGATTGTCTGTGATTTAAACTATAAAAACATTGTATTTCAAAATAACTATTTTAGGAGTAATGATTTTCCAAAATATTCCGACGCATTATTAAACAATACATTAACGTTTTGTGACTAACAATTAAAAATCCCACACACATTGCTCTCTCGATTACAATCTTCAATTAGATGCCCATGTCACCATCGTTACAACTAACGCCACTGTAAAATCATGCGGGTAGAACCTGACGATCTTGACATAGCTAAGTAATTTACATCAATTAGCTACTAAATAGAAGCCAAGATCATATAGTTTATTCTTTAGAACAACTAACATTTCAACCTAGTATTCCAAGCTTAGCCAAAGTATGTTTAGTAAAAGTATGCTTAAAGGAATACACAAAAGAATATGTTTATCAGAACACTGATTAAATATAGAGTGCTTGTGGTGATATATAGATAAAATTGTCACTTTCTTGTTAAAATTATTTATTTCTTGATCAAGGAATAGTGAAGTTAAAATTTAGTAATCTGATATACTTTAGTAAGCACAAAAATAATTGATCCTGGAGGTTTCTTCGTATACCATACCACACTAATCATTCACTGGAGTAGTAACGTGTCCCAGAAATATTGGTAGAATATTATTCCAGATAATCGAAACGAAGAATGAATGATCAACACAAAATTCTACCTCAGCCTCGGAAGATTCAGAGTCACAATTATCGAACATGCATGCAGTGACTCCAGCAGCTACGACACCTTCCTCATCAATCTGTACAAAATGATAAAAGAAGTCGAAAAAGATTAAAATGTAAGTAGACTGGCACATGCAACATTCAGACAGTTATTTTGTCCAATACAACATGTCTGGTCGAGTATGAAATTCCTAGTAAAAAATAATGTAATACATCAAGAAAGGCTACTTTCAGCTCAATAAAGAATGATGATGATGATGATGATGATGATGATGATGATGATGATGATGATGATGATGATGATGATGATGATGATGATGATGATGATGATGATGATGATGATGATGATGATGATGATGATGATGATGATGATGATGATGATGATGATGATGATGATGATGATGATGATGATGATGATGATGATGATGATGATGATGATGATGATGATGATGATGATGATGATGATGATGATGATGATGATGATGATGATGATGATGATGATGATGATGATGATGATGATGATGATGATGATGATGATGATGATGATGATGATGATGATGATGATGATGATGATGATGATGATGATGATGATGATGTTACGTACTCAACTAAGCTCCAAACTGCGAATTAAGATATTTTTGACTGTTAGCATCCACCAATAACTCTATGTGACCACAGTTTACAAGGAACTTCGAATATTTATAATTAAGTGAAAAAACGTTTAATCGCTTTGGTTATTCAACTTACTTCAAGTATAGACTTGTGAAAAACATCTGTTAAACATAATTTATCGGAGATGGAAATGTTCGAAAAGTCAGCTGATTGTGGATTGAATGCGTCATTTATTTCCAATTCCTTTAAATGAGTTTTTAAACTTAACGAATAACCTTGTTTGAGCTTAAATTTAGGCAGATATAAATTCAGTAGCGTGTTTTCAAAACTACGTGAGAGTATCGCAGAAATTCCACCATCATTACACATCAAATTCAGTAAGTCTGGCAATCCATCGTTTGAGTTTGGAAGAATAACCAATAACATATATCTGGATCAACAATATTTTGAAAACAAAGAAACACGGTTCAGCAAACAAAACAATATTCTCAGATACGCATGTGTATTCACTTTAGACAACTTATCTCATTGTGAAACTCCGCCTGTAGCTCTTATAGGGCTACTGCCAGTCTCACGACCGGGTAATGGAGGAGGGCAACAACAGCGTTAAAAGCTGCAGGAGAAGGAAACGTGAAAGAACTATATGACACGATGAAGAAACTGGCAGGGAAATATAGTTAATTGAAGATACAGGTCAAGGATGAGAAAGGCAAGTCAATCACTGAAGTTTAAGGACAGAGGAACATATGGGTGTAACATTTAGAGGAACTCTTAAACATTCTAATTGAAGCATAGAAGTTAGACATAAAAGTAACTGCAAACATGTTCCACACTCTATCAAGGAAGATTTCGGAGGTAGAACAAATGCCGTCAGACTGCAAGGAAGGATACCTCATCAAAATACAAAAGAAGGAAGATCTGAAAAAATATGAGAACTACAAAGGAATCACATCACTGTGTGTATGAGGAAAAATTTTCAACAGTGTTGCTGAACCGGATGAAAGACTCAGTAGACACCCAACTTTTAAATCAAAATACTGGTTGCCATGAGAACCGGTCGTGCACAAACGAAATCGTAACACTATGGATCATCGTTTAACAACCAATTGAATGGAACTCGTCACTAAACACCAACTTGCTTGATTATGAGAAAGCATTTGACAGTGTGGATGGGAGAATATAAAGGAAACTTCTACGACACTATCGTGTGAGTACCTGAGAAAATCTCCAAAATCATACCATGGACTACAGTGCATTGTGTTGGGAGGACAGCTAACAGACGCAATTTCAAATGAGAACCGGAATCAGACAAAGATGCCTCCTCTCCCCCTTTCTCTTTCTTTTCGAGGTTGACTGGGTTATGAAAACCTCGACATGTAAGGAGAAGCACAGAATAAAATGGTCAGGTTGGATGCAAATAGAAGATTTGAACTTCACATTACTCGGTACTTCTATTCCATATACATCAATAAATGCAGGAAAAACAAACGATGTAGAAACAACCTCTGCATCAGTAGGCCTCAACATAGAGCTAAAAGTAAAGTCCTCAAATAGAACGCAGAGAACAACAATTCAGTCGAACTTGATGGAGAAATTCTGGAAGGGGTGGAAACATTCACGTATATGGGATATGTCATCCATAAACAAGGAAGATCTGATGCAGATGTGAAGCCAAGGACTGGCAACGTGCGGACAGCATTCCTACACATTGAATGACCTATGGGACCCAAAACGACTGTCAAACGATATCAAAGTCACAACCTTCCATATGAACGTCAAGACAGTTTCTGTAATAGGCTTAAACTTGGAGAACTGTCACAACCATCACCAAAAGGGTACAAGTATTTATAAACAATTGTCCATGTAAGATACTCAATATCCGTTGGCCGGATACCATTAGCAACAGCCCACTATGGGAGAGAAAAAACCAGTTTTCAGCTGAGGAGGAAATTAGCAAAAGACGTTGGAAGTGGATAGGATACACATTGAGGAAATCATCAAGCTGCATCATGAGGTAAGCACTAACTTGGAATTTTGAAGGAAAGCAAAAAAGAGGAAGGCCAAAGTACATACTGTGCAGGAAATCAGAAGCAGACATGAATATGATGAATAGCAACTGGAAATGTTTGCCCAGGATAGTGTTGGATGAGAATGCTGGTGAGAGGCATACGCTCCTCCTCGAAGAGTAACAGAAGTAAGCAAGCATCTCACTGTGACCTTTGAATATGATGTAAGCCATCCATTTATTTGTGACTTCAATCACCTTTGGTTAAATTAGCATTATTTAAAGCTGTCTTTTTGTTGTTTAGGTGCTCGTAATTCAGTTATCAGATTATGCAGTCAAAACACTGCATTCAACAGGATGTAAGCATTAAAGCGCCATAATTGCTTCATAGTCAGGTATAAACAAACACATTCTAAAATAGGTAGATTGATAAAGAAGCTTACTTAGGATCTATAAACGGTAGCTTGATAGCTCGCGATTTCAAATGTGGTAAGATGACCATATTGAAATAGGATACATTATACATTAACTCGACGTTCATTGTTGATCCGTCAAGTTTGAAGAAATCGCTGTCGTGTGAATTTTCGTTAGGGAAAGGTAAATCCCATAAACCTGCCAAAGGTAATCACACATAGTCGTCAGCAGATATAAAAGACAGTAATAAAATAAAAATATAAACTCAGGTAATCAAAGCTTGATTATTGTTCACAGCTAAATAAATAATGCTACCTTTAAAGTATGTAGTGGATAGAATAACAGCTGACGTTTCATACGATAACGATTCAGGTGGCATGAGTTCTTGGATTGCTCCGTTCGTCTGTTCACTAACCCATTGATTAATTTGATTTCGAGCACATTCAGAATCTGTCCTAAACGCCACCTACACAGAGGTTTGATTAGGCAAAATCCACATTCACATGCTCGGTCAGTGCATTGTAATACTGCTTGATGATATTTTTAAATTGTTTCTTAATTTTCACACCATCATTTACATAGATTCCATTTCTAATGATTATCTGAACACCCTCATCAAGCTTCGAAAAATCAGCCAAAAGTTCACCAATCGCGCTGTGGATTTTTTCCTGTTCCAAGCAGTCAGGCAACTGCATAGCTGCTATCAACTCGGCTTTCGTATTGTTTGCACTTCCAGAGAGAATCATTCCGAGTGCAGTATAGATATTAAAAGGGGAGAGAAATGTATTCTCCAAATAACCTAAAAACAACGAATACATTGTGAAGGATGCATTTACCTTCGTTTCTTTTCAAAATCTCTCTATAAAACCTTTCACTGAAGTTTCCAAGTGATTGTATTACATCCATCACGGTTGAAATTGGTGCGTCCAATGGTCGACTTGAAAAAAGTTATTTGTAGTGGGAAGACACTACAAATGGTGAGTAAAAAAGTCATTATTAAGGACTGCGAAGTGGTAACAGGATATTATAATATGGTAAAACGTACTTTACCAAGTAGATGCTTTGACGGACTCAGTTACGACTGACATTTTGGCGCATTTCCCCTTTATTTACGACTTATTTTCCAATGCATTTTCCGCTTTATTTCCCCTTTGCTCGCCTTTATTTCCCCTTTATTGGTTGTTTGGGCAGGTACATGCAATTTTCATCATGAACATGGTAGCCTAGTGGTTAAGATTTTTCTCTCAGTTTTATTCCGGAATTTACTTCAGCCGAAATCATTAATGGTTTCACAGTATTTAGAGCTTTGTAAAAGTATTTTCACTCTTTTTGTACCGTAGCTGAAGTGGTACAACCTATATTTCGCTCTTAAGATGCAGTACTTTACGTAAAGCTAAACATTTAGGGAAAAAAGTGTCATGAGCCATCTTAAACATTCTGACCAGTGGTAGCGTCAGAACATGTCTAACTACTTATAAAAAATCCAAGCCGCTATGGTCAACCATGTAACTATTTTCGATACAATGGAATGATTGTTACAATGCCAGATTTTTACGAGCGGTGATTTTTTAATGAGTCCTGTTAGTTATTATTCATTGCATATTCATCCGAAAATCATGACATTTTTAAGCAAGGAAGTGAAAAATTACACTTCATAGTTTCTATTTTGAATGGTAAAATAATTTGTCACAAACAAATAAAATCAAACAGCAGGTGTTAAGGGGGTGTAATAGAAGAAATACAAGTTTCCTTACCTCAGCAATGAAGTGCAAAGCGAAACTGATAACACAGTTTAAAGTTCCCTCCACCTACAGATAACTGAAGGTCAGTTTTCAGTAATAAGAATAGTAGGTTGATGAACCTCTCGCAATGCTCGCAGCTTGCCTTCCAGTGAAAATCTGGCTCCTTAGAAATGTTCACTGATGAGGCAGATACTGCTTTATCAGGTAAGGTGTTCCAGTTATTGACCACTCGATGGGAAAAATAGAACTTCTCTTCAAGTTTACTAGTATGCCGTTTGTGAACATTCTTGCTATGACCTCGGAGAATATTAGTGTTGAAAGTAGAAAAAAGATGAGACATATGTACACCCAAAATCGCAAGTTAAGATACGAAATGCTAATAGAAGGTCATCTCGCGTTCTACGATGCGATAAGGGTAGACGGTTTAAGAGTTTTAAGCGCTTGAAGATACCACCAGTAACGTAGTTTGACAACTATAAACTAGTACCACCTATAGTCGAATCGTTCCTCACTCCGTTAAAATCAGAAGTCAGTAGCGAGGAGGTCGGAAAGATATATCTCATTCGTTATCAATATGTCGAGAAGCGGTTGATCTAATCTGGCTAGTGAACGTGGGAGATGTTTCCCTCGCTGTCCTGTAACGTGGTCTGGTGCGGAATTATGACCGAACGCCTTCAGCTAAACGAGTCCACTTAAAACAATGTGGTCAGCATCCAATGTCGAACACTTACAAAGCTACTGATTTCGGGGAATTATTCACAGCTAAACGCCTATCGTAAGGGACCAATCTGAAATCTAGGACTAACTATAGCGTCTTACGAAACTCCAGGACGTTGAGTGACTGATAGGGATATGTTGAAGAGCGCTCCTTGTGGTCTTGAAATTATCACCTCAAGAGATGACAATAGTTGTTGATGTAACCCATTTTAAAAGGTTTTAGGTCAGTGATCAATGGAATAACAGTTTCCTCAGTCACGTGTACAGATTCTGTGGCCAATATCTCGGTGTGATTCGATTAAGTGTTTTAAACAATACACGTGGAATAGACTTCGCTGAAATAGTTTGATAATGCCTCAGCTTTTGCTACATCTGATTCAGCTAGTAAATCTGAATTTTCGTGCAACAGTAATGATGGGATACCATCACTACGTTTTGTCCTACATTTAGCGTATGAAAACAATAGTTTTTGCTATCAAATGCCAACTGTCTTTCGTGAATAGCATGGCATCTAGCTGTGGTGTTTTTAAATGTACTCCGGATCTTTTGGTATTCACACTTAAATTATTCTTGTCCTCTTAACAAGACTAAGTTTCAGAAGTGTTTCCTAAGCTCCAACAGCTTTCGTTTTTCGTTATAATCCATGAAGGGTTATGTGATAGCTTACGTGTTGACGATAGGATGAATATTTATGTTACGGACTCGAATGTAGCCTTAAACGCATTTCATTCGTCTTCGAACGATCCATCACCATCGACAGACCAGTTGATTTTAGACAATTTCACTAATTGTCACCATAGATCCACTCTTGCGTTGGGCATAGATTTTGATTTCCAGGCTTCAACCATCGGCATAGTTTTTTCACTCATTTCTATTAACAAAGTTTTGTTCAATCCATCTTCAATACGTCACTTTCTTATCATGCCACAAAAGATCATGAAGGCCTCTGCTTCTGGTCATCCAGCCGAATGGAGGAAAACAAATCAATCTAACACTGCTAGTGACAGTTTCGACGAGACCAGCAGCTCCGTTCATCCGGAAGCAGACAAGCTTATACCAGTTGTCTCCATTCCAGACATGTTGAAGACTTTGTTGGTAAACAATGATAATAATCACAACTGCAACGATATGAATAATATAAAAAAGGTTGCAAGTTGACGAGAAGATTCGCTATCCGCCTAAGTATCTCATGAACGTCAACCTCACAGAAACTCCGGACCAAATGAATAACATAAAGAGCTTCGTAGGTCGTGTTACATCAGAGGGATTCGAAAGAATAGGACGATCTAACAGTGCAACTGTGTTTAATATACTGGACACATTTGCCCTTAAAAATATCAAATCTAGTGTACTTAGAGCCAGCAATATGACACACGTACCGTGGGTATGGACAAGATTAAAAAGAAGTCACCCTGGTATGAACTCACCGATTTTGTTGAAATTCAACTCATCTGTAGACGCTAGTGAGTTTTTAACTTTCTCCAATTCATAGAAAGAAAAACGGATTTTCAAGGACATTAAGATTCTACCAGATAAAACACCATGCCAGCGAAAAGCAGGCAGAGATAGATACAGACTACCAGCATCAAACCCCCAAACGCGTCATAATCCTAAGGGTTATAAAATTAAGTGCGATTCTAAGAGGACACCTAACTTTGCGATTATGCAACCATCGAAAAACTATCTTGAATCTCCTAAAGTTCAAAACTCAGAATAAAGTAATCTAGATGTAGGTGGTGTCCATCCTCTTAAAAATGTTGGCTTAGATTCAACTCTTAGTAGTTGTACTGATTGCGAATGGGATAACACAGTTCAAATCGTTGTTAGTGCAACAACTAGTAACAGTAACTGTGAAAGGGATAACGGGAAAACTAGTCATAACAATTATATAACTGACCACACACTTAACGTCTATATATTCGAACTTTGCAAACCATCACACGTATGTTTAACAACACATGATTCTCCCCAAATTACGAAGAAGCTAAAATCAACCACAACTTTGGAATTAATCGTTTAAAGCATGTTACCGATACGTCAGGTAAAAATGATTATCTGAATTCTAAATCGCTAATTGGTCGCACACACAGAACTGAAATCCTTCTTAGTCCGGCCCTCAATATGTACACTTTGCCATTATCAGATGTTATATGCCATTGCAATGAGAAGACTTTTTTTTACTTTTTATGCCAGCAACAGTAAACATATTTTCAAATGATGAGAAAGTTGTTGAATCTATTTCCCCTCGCAACACAACCCTTACCTTAGCCAACCTTACGAGGATTCATGAATAAACCAATCGTGATTTTTTCTCCAACCTGCTTCACCATGATAATTCTCAATTTCCTATTGCTTCGTTCAATACCCACTCTCTGCCCAATAAAATTACTCACCTTAAAACTCTTTTGTTCCTTGTGAATCCAATTATTGTTCTTATTACAAAAACTTGGTGCATTTCATCTACATGCGATCACTCTTTGCACGTAGATAACTCCGTTTTCTTTAGAACAGATAGATGCCATGGATAAGAAGGCGGTAAAATTATCTATGTCCGTTTGGATATTCAGGCCTGCAAATTTGAGGATAATTCTCTTGATGCTATTGGCGACTCAACTTGGGTTACTGTAAACTGTGTTTCTCAAAATTATCTACTGGTGGGATGCATATACAAACCACCTAATGCAGATACTAAGTCTGACAGATTACTAACAAACATCTTTTCCAATGATTCACAACAACCGCATGGTTTTAAAATCACCGGAGGTGATTTTCATCTGCTAAACATTACATAGGGTTTGACTCCGGTACGAGGTCGGCATGACAAGTTAGTTGAAACACTAGAACTGTATCGATGGGTCCATCAGGTCCGAAAACCGACTAGAATGAATAATATACTAGATTTATTGTTTACAATCAACATAGATTCTACCTCAGTGCATATCAGTCATGAGTCTTTTAAGAGTGATCATAGGGTTGTATTGAGTATTATTCATTTTTTAGACGCCATACAATTGAATTCTACAGCTGCGATGATGTACCAGAGTAGGTACTTTGATCAACAAACTGAAAACGGGCTGAAACGCTTATTCGTTGATTACCATAGTAAACTTAATTTACCACAAATAGTATTGACATTGCGCTTTGTGATCTATACCGCAGCCTGATATATCGCCTCAACTACCTTGCCCCAATTATTAGCCATGTGACTTATAACGCCAGTAGGGGCCAGAATACTTTTAAAACTTATAAAAGAAAGCTTAGGAAATTAAAATAACGCTACCGTGAGCATAAAGACTTGTATGCACTTCAGAGAATACTTAACATAATCGACAGAAATGCTTCATCCAAACGCAAGTAGTTTATGAATATAGAAAATAAAGCCCTAGGTAGTAAAAGTCCAGAATCATGAATACTTCGGCTTTTTAGATTTTGAATGAAGTCAGATTC